GCCTATGTTATACATCGTTGCGTTCCTCTTTGATGGGGCTTTCAGAATTTGTAGGAATTTTTCGCGTGCGCGCAATATGCAAATTTTTATTGCGGAACACGCATGACTTTTCATACAAGCCTCGTAGTCAATCTCTTAGGCATTATGGATTTAGTAGTGAATGAGTTTTCCATGATCAAGATCGCGTCATCATGAAAGGTGAAAACGAATCTCCAATGGGTCCGTATGGAAACCCAGGAACGAGGATGGATAGTGACTATTAATGGAATCCCTGAGGGAATGATTATATCGCATTGTGCGATGCCGAAGGGAGGAAGGGGGTCATCCAAATGTGATTCTATCTTGAAAAGAGGGTGAGGTTTAATAGCCACTCGAGGGTGACCATGCAACCATCAAGGGTGCTGGACACTGTAGTTGGCATTCCCACCCTCCATTCATGGTGATCATGTTCACCCCTAGAGTGATTTTGCAGTGACAAAACCTGCAGACCCTTAAGGATGGGGAATCTCACGTGTATTATTTGCTGTGTATGCAAGGAAATAGGAAAATATGAGTAAGTTGGATCGATTGCATAGTTTACCCGAAAAGAAATACGAAATAGGAAAGTAGAATGATCACCTCAAATTACTATGAAACAATGCAGGCCCCAACCATTACACATCATTACAGGTAGTGATCCTGGACGAGCCAACATCAGGACTGGACCGCGAGGCTCGCCGAATTATCTGCGACATCCTCCAGGTACGTCACGACGAATTTAAATTCGATTTCCATTTAATTTCAAATTATTTTTGTGGTTGCCAGTGGAGTTGTTCGCTGTACAGGAAGAGAAACGAGATCGAACGATTCTTTTGACGACCCATGACATGGAAGAAGCCGATGTGCTGGGGGATCGCATCGCAATAATGGCCCACGGTCGACTGCAATGCTTCGGATCCTCCATGTTCCTCAAGAAGCACTACGGTATTTTACTCCATACGCATGAACATTTGCTTAAGAAATTTGTTTTAACCTCCTTAGCACTTTCCTGAGACAGTTTCGGAGACACAACCATCACTTTTAACCAAAACATCTCCGCTCACAGTGAAGCTATTTTTGCGAAGGTTTCCCGAGTCATTCATCATTACGTTTCCGACTTATTCTCGAAATTTAATCAGAATTTGATGCAATGGCATCAGCAGTTACATAAAAAAGTTAGACATTGAGCTCTTGTCCTTTCTCAATATCTAATTTATTATCAATGACTGCTGATGGTAGTATTTCAGTCTAACTAATTCTGATGACATTTTGAGGATTCGTTGGTAGCATACTCACGCATGCATGGTTAATGTTTCGTCAAAATTCTTCCTTTACGACCGGAGAAGTTTTGATTTAAACTTTTAATGAATATTTTTTGCTATACTCTGTATAAGCTAAGTAAAAATAATATTTTCAGATATGCTAATGCGAGCAATGTGTAGGTGTGGATTATGCACGAAAATTTTGCCCAGAAGAAAACTCGTAAGACAAGAGAGACAAGACAATAGATGGAAAGCGCTGGCAGTGAAAGCAGTAAAGTAAAGAAAAAGAATGCCAAGGTGGTGCATGATGATTGGACAGATATATTGACTTGGTTTGGCACAAAATTTTTTTTTTTTGAGCGGGAGGCGAGGTTTGGGGGGGAGGATGTTTGTTTTGGAAATAGAAAATCACCCGGAATCCTTCGTCCCATTCGAGACTGAGCCTACACGTGTCTCTCCTCCATTGATTTATTGTCCTTGCAAGAAGGGAAATAAGACAGGGTCTAAGGGAATGAGAAAAAGCTAAGAATAGTCAGACTGCCTTGTGGCTCGGACCTGCGAGGACGTGCGCCGAATCCTTATCTGGCCCGCGTAGCTCCAGTATTATTTGGGAAATGTATATTACAAAATAGATTCAATGCTGACACGCAAATTTTTTATGTGGGACCCGCGAGTCGTCTTAGTGTCAAGCCAGTCTGTTTCCCCTCGGAGGATGAAGATTCGAATTTGATGAAGCAATACGCCCAGGAGATCTTACTTGAGAAACATTTCAGAGCGGGAAAGGAACCCGATGAGTATTGGATGAAGGTTTTCAAATCCCGAATAAAAATAGTGTTTCAGAGGTAGATAGGAAGGGGATAGTACTCCCTGGAGTACTCCCAGCCAGACCTAAAGAGACTCGGGAGCAAGGAACCCAGAAAGGGAACAGAAAAATCGCATACAAATCTAGAAGGTAACTCGAAACATTTACTAAGATTCTTGAAAGTTATCCCACGTCATAGTTTGATGTCGGTCCAATGTGGACTCCCAACGTGGGGCCACGGAATAGACCTACGAGGAATCAATGTTATTTTCCTACCTGAGACATACAAATGTGGAATTAAAAAAAAAAACATATTGGCCCAATCTGAATGTGTCGCCCATTGCCGCAATGTGAGGCTCATAAAACAGGGGAGTTGTGTGGCAGACGAAGATTCGGAATTTTGTGCTGCTACCCTATCGATTTTCGACTTCGATGGGAGGTTTGCCAAATGCGGATCCCAGAGGAAGCCCAGTTTTACTTTTCCTTCCGTTGCACTCAGTCGACCACAATCCAACGTTACGGATATGCTGACGATTCGAAATAAATTAAAGCATTCCCCTGCATGCTTCAAAAACTTTCATTGGGAACCCTAACTAATCACCAGTTACAGGAATTCATCGCTGAAGTAAGCTTGCCTCTTTTCAGCTTCTATTTCCAAGGGTCTGGAAGAAGGTAACGTATGGTTATGATGACTTGAATCTCATCACTCTTCGGAATTCTTAATGGAAGAGGGAAAAAAGTGCCTTGTAATAATAATGTGCAATCCTGGATTTAGGGAGCGGCTACACCTTAAAGGTCACAAGGACACCGGACTTTCAAGAACAGGAAGTCCTTTCCCTTTTGCAAAAATCCTGCCCAGAAGCAGAGCTAAAGAGCAGCCCAGGTAGCGAAGCAAGTTACCGGCTGCCCTCCTCCATGGCGCAAGTGTTTCCTTTTGTCCTTGAAACCCTGGAGAAATCCAAAGCCCAGCTTGGCATCGGAAGCTTCTGCATCTCCGTCACTACCCTCGAAGATGTCTTTCTCAGGTTCCCATCCGGTGTTCAAGCAGGACGGAATGAAGGAGGCGGTTTGAAAGACATTCAATTTCCTCCTCAGAGTAGGGGAGGGAGCAGACGCTGATGGAGGCATCAAGCAGTCTCGAACCGGTCACACAGACATCCATCATGCCAGCACCTCCAGTGAGAATCTTCCACGCCCTTCCCATCTTCTGGCATTAACAGGAATCTAAATTCCTATTTCTTTTCACTAGAATGTCCCTGTCTATTAGATGCACAAGCATCGTTCATTGTCCTTTCCTGATGATTACTTTATATGTATACTTATATGTATATTTCCCTTTATAGGGTTGATCGCGATGTATGGAAAGAAGAGGAGCATTTCCCTCTTTGTCCTACAATTCAAGGCCCTTCTCACAAAAAAGTTAATTTACATCTCTCGAAAGTGGAAACTAATGATCGTCCTGGTGAGAAAACGGTTTCTCTTAAATTCGCCTCATTTGATCCTCCCATCAGCATGAGATATTTTTCATTCTACTCAAAGGCCATCATACTTCTGGGGTTGGCCCTTGGAGCTCAGTTCTTCGTTAAAGCCTTCACGGCCTCAAATCCCATGTTCAACACGTTGGATATGAAAGTTGACATCTACGGGAATACCTTTGTCCCATATGAAGTCTTGCCTGGTCTCGATGATAAACTCATGAAATGCTTTCTCGATGGATTGCCGGGTATCAGCTCGCCTGAGGTGACAGTTTTAGCTCGCCTTGATACAGTTCACAGTTCACATCCAATTCGCGCCAAAATGTCGATATGTTGGGTTGCGTCAATATGGTAGCTAATTGTAAAGTTTGGTTGCGCTGTTTTTCCTGATTATTCCTTTTAGACGTCAATGGGACAGAACTTCCTCCAGTACTTGTTGAAAATCGGGACAGAAGATTGGCTGAAGTACCAATCCCAGTATGTCATCGGCGGATCCCTATCCAGGAAGGAAAGGATGATAAATTGGACGCAAACTTTCACAGCCTTCTATCAGACCGCCCCGCTTCATAGCAGCGGGATCGCCGTGAATCACATGAGCGACGCCATGGCGAAGTTCATCCTCGGGAGGGAGCATTCTATCCTTGCGTACAACCAGCCTCTCCCAGACAGCTTCAGGGGCACATTGGTCTGAGGATTTCGCCGATGTTGAGGCGATCGAAATTGATTCCAAGGAACTCATGTCTGGCGATATTTCCAAACAGGACGACGCGATCTCAAGTTTTCAGGAGAAAACTTCAGATCGCTTGTGGGAAGGTTCTGACGAGAGTACTGCTTCAGCCTTGACATTCGCCACCTTTCTCTGCCTGGGGATGTCCCTCTTCGCCAGTTCCTTCGCCCTCTTCCCCGCGGAGGAGAACGAGTCTACCGCCAAGCAACTCCAACTCATGACCGGGGTCAGGTCCTTCATCTCCATCACCATCTTACGGGCGTCGGTCGCGAATGCAGCACGAAATGTTTGCAGGTGCGGCCGGAGTGGTACTGGGTGGCGAACTTGATGGGAGATGGGGTCGTCTTCCTCGTCGTTTCTGCCTTTGTCGTTGGGATCATGGGCGGAGTCGATGCCGACGACATCTTTGCAGATAGTTATGGAGGTCTTGGTCAGTTTATTTATGTTATCAGTCCATGCGGACTGAAATGAAAAATTCCAGGGTTATGATGAAGATTCGTGTCATGCTGCGACCGCTTTGCGAATAAGGAAGAACTACTGATATGGGTTTGGGAGACTGAAAACGACACTTTCCATTTTCCGTTTTTCCTCGTTTCCGCGCTTGAAAATACAAAGTAGGTCAAAGAAGCTCTCATTTTTGGTGAGTCGTCAATCTCATTGTAGGCTACCGATTCGGATTAAATTTGTTAGGCCCTTAGGGTGATGTAACTGGGGTTGGATTGCGAGTTTCAAATGAAAATGCCAAAAACTGTGAGAATGCCATTTAATTTACTTTTCATTACCAAAAAAGTAAGTGTTCATTTTTTCTTGAGTCTAAAAATTTCTTACAACTGACAAAATGAACAGAATAAAAATCAAATGAAGGAATATAAAAAAGAAAGCACACAATTCCGTTTAGGTAGGTTCATTTTGTCGTGCTAGGGCCAGGATAGCACTTTGCCTAGCACTGTGGGTTAAAATGAAAGGCCAGTGGGGAGCTCCATAATTCCTCTATTAGCTTGACATTTGAAAAACTAGTAAAATGTAAGAAAATAAATAAAATAAATAAATAAATGGATAAATAAGTGAAAGACAATGAACTGTAGGCTCAGGCCATAGGCTGGAATGTAAACAACGAGCAAATGTTTGACAGGCACTAGGCCATGAAAAAACACTAAATGAACAGACCAGCCAAACTTAAGAAAACCAGCAAGGGAATGTGTGGACCAGCAAGCTCAGGCAGAGCAAACACCACGACGAAACAAGCGCCAACACCGGAAGCCGGGATCCCCCTGACACACCCCCAGCTCTGGCGCTCTGGCTGTTCTTTCGTATCAATGTTCAAGTGTCATGTGGGGTAGAGAGGAACCCCCACTTGGAGCAGTTAGTGTGTTCATCCACGTCCATACTCGATAAAAAGAAAAACCACTCCTCCAGTGAAAAGCAGGCACAGCACAAAACTTGTCCTCAAAGCCTCTGGCAAGCTGGTCTAGTCCCTTTCAGCAACACTGGATGCTGGTCCTGTCGTCTGCTCCTCAGACACGACACTACAATTTAAATTGAAAAGTTGTTAATGTGCCCTCTATTCTGTTTTAACACAAGTGTGTGGTGTCTTGGACACCGCAGATCAATGGCTCGATGAATAAATCTGTGAGGCAGTGCATCTCAATCTTCCTCTTTGGCATCGTGCAGGGACGGATGGTCATTCATTCCGTCCTCCCATTCATCCAGGCCTCACGTTCATATCGATATATTCGACAGCACATTATTTCTTTGGTCATGAGAAAGTAATCACAGCTCCTACAATTTTAAAGCCAGAAGGCTTAAATTTGGCATGAAATCTTCAATTGAATCGCCCCACGTGCCTACCAAATTTCAACATAATCGGCAACCTACAATCACATTGACAACTCACAAAAAATGAGAGCTTTGTTTTTTTGGCCCACCATATATAAAGCCACCATATACCTTCAATAAGATAGAATTCCGCAAACTGATTTTCAGAGGAAGGACAGCATTCCATACTGAACAATTTAGACATTTTCTGATATATGTAAATTGCGTTAGAAAAGTGAATAAAAGGGAATAACCCAAGTGATTGAAAAACATCTATTCAAAGATTCACTCATGAGCAATGAGAATTTATGGTCTCAATTTAATTTAAAATATTTTCATAGCTCTTGCCATTTTACATGGGAATTGATTTTAATAGGGAGGTTAGATGTCCATAGCAAACAATTAAGGTACTTCGCACATGGTCAGATGGAATATATTCCTTTTGTTTGAGAATAGACTCCTCAATGGGATTTCGGGGTCAGAAAAAAAATTCCTTGGAATACGAGTTCATTTTAAAATGGATGATCACAAAAGGGCGAGTGAGAGGAACCAGGCTGACATGAAATTCAACTGATGTTTTGTCACAAACGGGCAGGTTCCTTGGTCTGTTTGCTGCTGATGTACGGCTTCGCCGCCCTTCCCTTCGCCTACGTCTTCAGCTTCGGCTTCAAGAATAGCGGGGCGGCATTCACCGTCCATGCGCTCGTGAATACCTTCCTCGGTCTGGACGCATTCCTTTGTCTCTTTTCGTCGATTCCCTCGAGAATGTTGACGCGTTCTCATGTTTTCGCCAGGGGCGTCGTTATTGACAGTCGGATTGCTTTACGAGTACGATTCCCGTACATTCCCGGGGATCCGCAAGGCCCTCGGGAGCGGGTTCCCGCTGATCGTCAAGGCCCCCGGGAGCCTGTTCCCGCTTTTCGGTTTCGGACACGGGATCGTCAACCTCATACACCTGGCCAACAATAACGGGCGATGTGAGGCCATTGGATACAATGTCAGGAGCTTTTTGTGTTCCACGCCCAACTTAACCGAATATGCTACCCTCTCCGTTTGTTGCGGTGAGTGGATATCAATTTCTATCCATTTCCATTTGCATTTCGATGGTGTCTGGATTCTACACTTTAACGACCCTTACTAAACGTCCAGGGGAAGAGAAGAACATTCCCCCCCTCCCCAGGGGTGGATTTGGAATCAGGTGGACGTCCCTCCTGGTGGAAATCAAACAAGGTGGACGTCCTCCTGGTTCCAAATCAACTGTAGAGGAGAGGGATGCCTAGGTGGATTTCCACCCAGTGGGACGTCCACTTGGTTCCAAATCCACCCCTCTGGATATCCAGAGGGATAAAGCCCATCTCGATTCTTTTCCTCCCAAATTCTGTTTGGAAAATAACCATATTGTATGCATTGGGATGCGCAATCAACTATGACCAAGAAATGACAGAGACGGAGACTAACAGAGAATTTCCAGTGCCTTCTCTTACAATGGCTGTCTTAGGGCCATGGAATGAAAGCTGAGATGCAATTCCTCTTGAATGAAGTCAAGATCGACTATGGAAAGGCTAGCTTCACTATATCAATCAATATTAGGTTCGGAATGCCTTCCACGAATTAGCGGAATTTAGAAAAGGGAGCAGGAATGAGTGACCAGAGATCCTTTACCCCGATTAACTAGTTTTCTAAATCTGCGCTCTGACGAGCATCGGGAATCGTTGTACTGTATTATCCCTTGGAGTGACTGCGTCGACGAAAGTGCATCATATTGGAAGGGTGCGGTATCGTTTGGTAAGACCTCTCGCAAGATCGGCGGAATTGTTGCTGATTCGGTGAGATGGGTCGCGCCTCAAGAACGCGAAAGTCATGATTTTCCGATTCTATTGCGTCGAGAGTAGGCCTGTGTGGCACGGCGAGGGGCGAGTTGCCGTGTCCAATCAGCGACAATAATCACGGCGAGAATAATCACATCGTTGTACCTGCGAAATATTGTGAAAGAAGGTACTTTCATGTGATATAGTTCTCACCAGCCCAGACCTTCTAGTTGAGGCTGCACAGGGGGGGGGGGGGGGGCCAATCATTGTTTGGGACCACTTATATAGTAGTCATCTGATTCGAGATCTCCATCGGGACACACAATTGGGGAAAAAGGGAAATGTCTGAGGGTCGATTGGCATTATTTGATGCTTTCCCCATCGTGCATGGTTCTCCCCTCATAGTCCACAAACCATGTCTGCTTTTCGTGCGTCGATTACACGGTTCAACGAAAGTAATAAATCATTATATACAAAACAGAACTCGAATGAGAGAATCACGGACGCGGGAAGATGATAATTAAATGAAACCTTTGGGACAAAGCACAGTTCGTCCAAGAGAGTGACGTGAAGAGAGAGGATAGAAGTTTACCTATTGCGGAGCCGGTAGACAATGGACTGGACCTTAATGAAGCGGTCAGTCATTCGATCACGGAAGGGAACGACAGCGTCTGAAGGGGTAGTATCGTTCGATTTCACATTAAGAAGATGGAGAACGAACACAGGCTGTGCGCGAGAAAGGAAAAGCTAGGAAAACAGGTAGACAGAGATGGAAGGTCAGCATCGAAGTTGTGTCTGGGCAAGAAACTCGTTCGGTTGGAGAGGTCACGAGGGCACACATCACGTGCACTGACCCGCCACATTCAATGCTAAAAATGGGCATATTCATCCCTGTCACTCATGCACCAGTTACGCCTGTTATAGGAATCTATCCAATTTCGATGACCACACGGAGGAGGACGTGCAACGTTAGGCTTCCCATCCTGTATGACACGTGGGACGTCATGATGATGTACCTGATTTTCGGTGATGGATCCGTCTACCCTGGTGCATATGAGAATTTTTATTTTCCAACACTCGACAATTGTGACTTTTTTTTAACGCACCTTAAAGCAATAGCATTGCGAAAATATGACTATCATGACGCGTGAATGAGAGTTAGGAACCGACTTAAAAGCAGAACCTCGAAGGTCATGGAAGTACAGTATGAAAACAGGCATCCATGGCCATGAGGGCTAGACGCCGGGCTGGATCTCCTCGTGCTCTAATGTCCCCCACCAGTACGGAACCATAGGTCGTTATCAACTCAAAGGTCAATTTTTTATGTGGGGGTTTGGATATTTCTCTTTATTGTACTGTATCTTCTCCAAAAAGCCCCTACCTTAGGTTGTCCGGTGGAAGAAATATAATTACTTGCATGCCACTCTCATAAGCGTGGAATGAGATATTTGATTTCTCCACACCTTCATTAAAAAAATAACTTACAATTTGTTTGAAGCGGTTTCTGCAGCGATAGGGTTGGAATATGTCCAGTTTCATTTCTCTGAGATTCCTCCTCAGAAAGGAAAACGAGGAGGCTATATATTTTTTTATACCGAACAGGTGCTATAGCGCCTATTAATTCAAATTGAGAGCTGGATTCATTACAAACATTTTTTCTGCTGTTTTTGTGGTTGAAATGGCAGAATTTTATGAAATTATAAAAATTGGCGGAGGATCTCCATAGCAAAACCGATCGCTATATTTATGTAGTATATTTATTCTCCTGGTATTGCTGGTGGAAGAATAAGAATGTCCCCCTGTGATCCACCTGTAATCCACCTGTCGTCCACCCCCGGTGGATGCATGTAGATTACAGGTGGACGTTTTGTAAGGGGAGTAGATTTAGTGTAAGGAGAACTTGTTTGGTGTGAATTCTGTGTAGCCTATAAATGTTTATGCACACGGATATTTGCCTTTCCTTTGTCAGCCTGGAGATAAATTATAAAGCAACATGCTTGATAGCTGCAAAACTTACTCTAAATTATTTCACAGGCTCATCACATACTCCTTCTTCAGCAGAGGAAAAGTAGCTGAAAATTCTATTACTATTACGATTGTTTTGTTTTCTAAATTCTCAGTGGAATATCCTTCGTCCCAACAGAAAACTGCGTGGACCTGCCGAGCGGTTGCTTCGAACCCAAGAGCTATATCAGGTTGGAAGGGTTGAACATCGGGGAAGCCATTATCATGTTGGGGTGCTCGGGTTTCTTCTGGTTCGTCTGCCTCTTCCTCCTCGAGCATCGGTACCTGCAGCGACTATGGGGCAAGCTCATAACGCATATGGTGGCGGATTGTTTCGAGAATACTCAAGAGGACGAGGATGTGCTCTACGAGAAAGAACGGATCCAGGACCTTTTCCAAAGAGGTTTTACTTTCTTCTTTGCGCGAACATCTTGAGGGGGGAGGGTTAATCGTCCTTCAGTCTAGTTGCATTTTCGAACGCGTTTCGAACGCAAAAAACCTCCGCTTTTATTCCGTTTAATCATCATACGGCCGAGTGAAAGGGATGGGTGAAAGAAAAACAGCGAATGAAAACATGGCATCCTTCATGGTTGAAGTGGGTATGCGTGGGTTTAGTGAGTGCGGTTATCTCTCAATCGGGTCTAGAGTCGTTGAAATAGTGGGGAACATATGAAGTCGTTTGTGTTATTCACAAGAGAATTGTATGCTATTCCCATTATACACAACATGTTATGCTGAGACCTTTCGAGGAAAAACCCCGTAAGGTGTCAATAGAACCTGGAGCCGATACGTATTGGGTCAAAAGTCCAAGCTGTCTTTGCGGACGTTGTACCTATGGGACCTCCTTTCTGTCTTCGTGTCTGAAGACTTTCCGACTTGAAACTCGATCAACCCAATTCGAATCGTAGCCCGCACCCTACCGGGAACGCGATCGTCCACCGATATTTTTTTTACTCCGAGCCGAGAATCTCTATGGCCCGATTTGGTCAGCCTGCAACCCACTAACACCTTAAAGCTTGAGAACTCCATGTCTCTGATGATGTACTACCCCTAATTGGTGGGAGGGACCTCTCACAAATCTGCACAAGATGGTATTTTCCGCGCGAAACGGCTTAGAATGATATATATAGAATGTTAAAAAAAAGACGCATCATCCTTTTTCTATGGGGAAATGACTATTTTCTTTTTAGGCGTATTACTTCTTGAGATGGGCTTTAACGTCAATATAATGGGCTCTTCATCATTGTTGGAAAATGTTACATTTATAATTGTTTACCCTATTTCCTCTTACCATAAAAAAATCGCCAAGGATGGGATTGAATCTCATTAGTCGCAATTCATTCGACCTCAACACTGTCCGTCACATTATTTCGTTCTTGATATATCAGTAGATATTCTTGGTATATCTAATTGGAATTGTTTCATGGCGATAAAGTGGCGATAAGGCATCCTTAATTCTCTGCTTCAGCATGTGACCTATAACCTAAAGAGTGCATTTCAAGCAATACAGCAACAGCAGGGGAATAATCCTGACGTTATTTTAAAACTACCATAATTTCTGCTGTTTTCCTTCTCCCATAACAATTGAAATCTTACTTTTTCTGAGATTCTAATTTAATCCGAATGGCTAATCAGAATTGAAAAAATTAACTTCCAGGGATTTTTGATAAAAATGATGAATTATGATGATTAAGAGACTGGTTAGAATCAATCTTTGTAAAGCTAAGCATAACTCAAGCTGTACATTCCTAATTTTTAACCGAAGGAGATGCGAGGGGTGTTCCAAAAGTTTCCGGAAAATATCTCTAAAAAAATAACTTGAGGTCGTGGAGGTTGGACCTTATAACCAAATACGCCCGAGTGTATAGAAACATGTTTCCTTAAGTCATAAATCATTTATGTGATTGCCTTCATGGTCTTTACATGGAAAAAGAGGAGCTAATTTTGCAACAGCGTTCCGTGATCTGCTTTCTGTGTTTGTAAGGTGCTACCAGGACGGAAATTCATTGGCGGTTGGAAAAAGCGTTTGCTCTGGAAAACCTAAGCAAGACACACGGTTTTAAGTGGATTAGAAAATTTTAAAGGACAGGGGACCGTTAAAGACGCGAATCCTAGTGGGCGGTCGGAGGAGAGGAGGTGGAGAACATGGTCCGCGTGCATGAACTGGTGGAAGCTGACAAATGCATCACAGTGCGTGAAATTACAGCTGATCTTGAGATAGGCCACAACGCTGTTGTCGAAATGCTTAGACAATTGGACTATCACAGCCAAATGTTTTCCAAGAAACATGACACTGGAGCAGAAACAGAGACGTGTTGATGTGTGCCTCGATTTGTTGCAGGAACATGCCGAGAATGACATTTCTTTTCTGAACTCAGTCATCACTGGAGACGAAACGTGGCTGCCATTTTTCCTTCCTGAGACAAAAGAACAGTCAAGAGAGTGGCACCACACATCATCGCCTAGGCCAAAAAATTTCAAGTCGCAGGCCTCTCTCAAGAAGATGATGGTGACAGTTCTCTGGGACCATAAAGTGACATGACTCATCGATGTTTTTGAGCTCAATACAACCATAAATGCTTAGCGATACTGCGAGACTCTGAAGAAACTGAAGAAGGCAGTTTCGAAGAAGAGGCCAGCATTGACCAGGAAGAAACTCTTGCTTCTTTATGACAACGCCCGGCCGCACACTACTTTGGCAACTTCCGCTCTTCTTGCCGAGTTTCAGTGGACTGCTGTTCCACATCCGCCCTACAACCCTGATCTTGCCCCCTCAGACTACCACCTCTTTGGATACCTGAAAAATCACCTACGGGGAATTCATTTCAAGGAAGGAGGGGACCGCAAGGACGCAGCAACAAGCTGGCTCCGACAGTAGCAGCCCGACTTCTACAAAAAGGGAATATATTATCTGCCTCCCGGTGGCAAAAGTGCATGGATCAACAGGGCGAGTACTTGGAAGGGCAGGGGAGATGTTGAAGAATACACATGCAAAGTTTCTACTCATTCGACACAGTAGGTATTTTTTTTAGAAAATCATTCCCGAAACTTTTGGAACACCCCTCGTACTTTGAATTTAAAATCAAAATAAATACTTTTTTTACTTAGAACACTTCAGCAGTAACAAAAAGTAAAGTAACCATCAAGGTACCTGTTCTTGAATTATGTACTCATAGAAATGTAGGCTGAGCAGGCACGCTGGAGGGATCAGGAAGACACGGGTGCAGTGATCCAATCGCTCAGATTTAGCAATGGCTTTGTAATTTTCAATGCATGTTCAGCCCACCATCCGAAGGGAAGAATAATGTGAAGAAAGCCTTGAAAGTCAGTACCTGCTCATCGGAATTCGCAATCCCTATTATTTGCAGTGACACCAAGAGGCAAATCCCGCACTTTATCAATGACTCCCAGTCTACATAAAAATGCTCGTCAGATTATGCCTTTTCTGCTTCATTCCCGAGATGTTCTACTATTAAGATAATAGCCAGGAGCCAGAATAAAGCCTGTTTTTTTTTTTACTATGGGAATGAGAGTTATATGTTCCCTAAAGAAAATGAGTGGATCATCATATTTGAGACACCATATATATAGACGATCGCGAATGACTGGATGAGTAACTGAGCGAGTGACTGACTTACACTGATTCTAACCATGTTCTAAAAATAGTAAAAGATTGGAACTTGGTTGAAAAGTACCAACTACAGGGGTTCTCAAACTGAGTGGCGCGACAGGTCGTGGGAGTTACTTTTTTATTATCTTCAACAATGTGCAATTTAAAAAACGATGGATTCATCTAACTTTTTTTATTGCTGTGGAAAGGTCACATTCCTTCAGGTCTCTGTGGGGCTTTCTCCAGGAGTACAAGACTAAATGAAAGCAATCCATGGGAGCAAACTATTAAATTCCATTCCTTTTTCCAAGGGGTGCACATTTCCATCGGCGATATACTACGATTCCAATTAAGATGACTCGTGCGTCCCTTCGGGCAGAAACTTGAATGCTCGATGAATGTAGCGTCTGTACACTCGTTCTGTCTAAATGAATACTTGGAGAAACTCAATGACGCCGAAGGGCTTGGTTCTGGGGGCAGAGTAAAATTTCCGAGGACATTTCTCAGTCAAGTCTTTGAAAATGAGATTTGCGCCGTTATTGTCACCCGTACAGTTTAGATTCGATCATTTGTGGGCCAGGAAACATGTGAGCAGGGTTCTCATGAAATTACGTGAATGATATATCGTTTCCTGGCTGTGACCTGGTCCCTGAAACGTTGAAATTACCCCACGGATGCTTTTTTCATGCGATGACTGAAAAAATTGGAAACGGATTGCGATTTCTAGGTACTCATGTCATAGAGAAAGGGGGCCCAACGCCGAGCCAGGGTCGTAAGGGGGAGGTCGCAGCGTAAAAACTTCAGACCCGCTGACCTGCTGGGTTCCTGAATTTAGAACAATTCAGACTTTCAAGGTGAATACCCTCATGGGAAATTTTTTGGGGAGAAGCACTTGTGACCACTCGGACGATTTAAATAACTCTTAAACTTTGCCAGCTATAACTGCATGAAATAGCTCATATGAAAGGTCAGAAATAGTAGAATCCAATTTTACCCACACAAACATCCCAAGTAGAATGTTTATTTTAATTTTACGTAAACTGAATGTTAATTATTTCTCCATTTAATATCTATTTTATGCAAATCATCATCTAGATAATGTCGACATGTTTGTAGAAATATCACCTCTGGTATTGGGAATCGGTGATATAAATTTTACATAAATTTTACGTAAAAAAGATATTCCTGTTTACATCCCCAACAGCATGTTTACATTCATTTTACGTAAAATTGATGTTGATTTCCCCCGAACATTCATGCGTATTTAACGAACTAGTTCGTACTTTTGACGAGAATCGATACACTGCATTTCTCCCATTCCTTTCCATACTTTGGATCTCAAGGTTACTTGGACGAGTACACAAGTCTTCATTCTCGCCAGCACTCAGGAGTACCAAGATGACTCACTAGTTCCTCCTCCCGTAATAGAACCTCGGAAGGAGTAGATGTTTAGAGGAGCTCCCTTTCATCAAAAATAGAAATTGTGAAGCTGGGATTGTGAAGCTCTTGCCTAATCCTGTGCAATGCTGTAATAGCAAGCTTAGCTTCAGCATTTAATGATTCCTAAGTCATATATTATTTTTAAAAATATGTAATAATTTCCTGCTTTCCATATATATATTCATGGATTGCATAATAAAAAGTGAAAGGATGGTAAGAAAACCCGATTCTATATCGGGAAAGCCAGTACTTAATAGCATTTGTAGGGTGCAGGGAACAAGGGTTCCATCTACTGAGGAATCATGGTATTGCAACTGCGATGGGCAGCTAAAGTTTCATATGGAACGTGTGATATTAACTGCGCATAAACTTGGTATGATGTACTTCACGTCTGATGGAGTGACGTCTAGTTTACGTAAGATACACGGACAGTTGGTGACGTAAATATAGGAACGTAAATTTTACGCAAACGTGATGTCATTTTCATGTCAATCGCAATAAATTTACATTGTTTACAAAAAATTGATATCATGTTTACGTAAACACACTGCTTGGGAAACTTACTACGGACGCGCCTTCAGCGCTCTGCGATCTAAGGCATCCGTTTTCGATGCTCATTTCTACTACTGCGGTCAAACTTCTTTGATCATGGGTACAATTCTCTCACCTTAAAATAAAGGTGTCTTAGAACTTTTTCTTAATGACGTCATGCCACTTGTAGCATGAGGGTCACCAAGTAACAATTCTAAGTGTGTCGTTTAGTATTCCATTGGTGTATTCAATTCCTACCTATGGTCGACACACTTTTGATTGCATATCGATCTCCAAAAAAGTAGAAGTAATAGCAGTCATATGAACCACATAAGCCACTTGAGAGTTTTAACTCAATAATTATTTATAGACTATGTTCACTGTATGGGGAGTTCTTTCATTATCTTTATATCAAGGACTCTATGGGAGTCCCTTTGTCAAACTCTTCTAAAGTTTCCATAGTCTATGAAAAAACGCGTCATTCCGTAAATGCAGCCCGCTGATATACCTTCCCGTTTCGTAGAAGGGTGCATAGCATTAGCCTAAGCGTCCGTCAGTGGATTAGACGTAGCCATCTTATATCGGAATGTCGATGGAACATCTTCTACAGTTTCCCTGCCACAAAAAATAAATAGATCCCATTTGCAATTGCAAGGGTACCGGTACGCGTGAACTCGTGTCCTTCCCTTCACCTATGACCCAACGACATAGGACGAAGACCTAGCGCGTCAGGCTAAGGCAGAAGGATTCTCCGTCAGATGGACCAAGAAGTCCCTTCATGCGATTGGGTCGTGCAAAATTGGTATGCGCCTCCGCGTTTGTCCAAGGGTTACCTATAGGCCTGCTAACTCAGTCCCCTCAGGGCACGTACAATGTCGAACTTCATCTGTAGTATGGAATAAAACAGCTATTTCTTTTCCCTCCCGTTTCCCTGAAGGAAGAATATGCGGGAGAGTGGTGTTAGCCTAAGTATCCATCAATGGGTTAGGCCTAGGCCTGCAAAATCTGCCCCCCCCTCCCCTGAAACGCGCCCCTGGAGTAGACAACCTAGCAGCTATTCATGTTCCTTCCGTTTTATTGAATGAAGTGTGTGCCTGAAAATGGCATATGCCTAAGCGTCAGTCCTAGGGTTAGACCTAGGCTTCCAAAATGAGACCCCGTGCAATGAACCCCCAGGACAATTACCCCCAAAGTTGGAATTTTTCGGGAGTCAGCAGTCTAACAGCTACTTATGTACCAAGTTTCAGCCTCTCATCATGTCTAGATCATGGTTAGAATTAGCGTCAGTTAGTCAGTCGCCATCGTCCATATGTATTAGAGTATCGTTTGGATTTTTCCATCCCCACATGTCGAAGATGAAAGTCAAATATCCCAATTTTCATGATTTTAGCGAACGTTGACGTCATTTTTTACGATGGTGGGGATCCTGATAAAAATATGGCTAATATGTCAAATGAAGGAGCATTCCAAGTTCTATTCAACATGAGTTTCGTTTTGTTACAGTCACGCATGGAAATATTACGAATTTTCTCATGTGTGTCGGTTTTGACCTAGACGCAGTTCAATATGATCTCCTACGACATCTGGTTCAACTATTCACTTTCTGTTATTTTCATGATTTGACAGCGGTCTTACAATGGTCTTTATTTTCCGTAAAATTAAGTTGCATGGAGACTTATTTCCCCCTTAATTGCATTACTATTGCTTCATATAATTTCATCCATTTGAGCATTGGGTTCATATGATTCTACTTTCATAGGCTGTCAAGTTTTTATTATAGTATATTGGAGATTAGCCAGTCAAATGATATTGGTCTCCGTTCAATTTTCTTGCGATAAATATTCCCGTCGACCCACTGTTGCTCCGTGTGCAGGAGTCCTGCATTGTTAATCCGATGTAGGCCGGGCCAAATTCTAGCATCTCTCAATCACATTGCATGCAGATTGCTCCGAGCGCTCTCGGGGTCTCATCTACGAAGGTGGAGGAACAAAAATTGCCTCGGCGGGCTTAGCTTTAGCAGAGCCTGGAGGCAACACCATATTCACCTTCATCCTCAATATTCTACCTTTCCACTCTCACTTGACGGTTACTAATTATGTTAACTTTTACTTTCGTCGACTGCAGGAGAGACGGAGAAGGACGCCCTTCTGGCAGTGGGTCTAACCAAATCCTTCAAACGCTTCGTTGTCGTGGATTGCTTGAACATCGGGGTCCACCACGGCGAGTGCTTCGGGCTGCTGGGCGTGAACGGGGCAGGGAAGACGACGACGTTTAAAATGCTGACCGGAGCGGAGGTCATTACCTCGGGCGGGTCGTGCATCATGGGATATAACCTTGGCGTGAATCGCAGAAAGGTTGAGACATTTTCATTCACATTTTCTCGTATTATGGTTTGGCGTGTCTGAAACGTGAAGTTGTCACTGCAGTACCTGTCTCATGTGGGCTATTGCCCTCAATTCGATGCTCTGGTGAATGTGATGACCGCAAAGGAGACCCTGCTGATGTATGCCCGACTTCGAGGTATTCCGGAATCCGTCGCTGAACAACACGTCGACTCTCTGATTGACCAACTTGGTATGCACGCTTATCGAATCGAATTATAATACGATATCTAATCGTCGTGGCATCTGATCTTAATGATGCCAACAGACTTCGGAATTAGTCCTGAAAATACAAAGAATTTGACATTTTTCATTCCCTTGATTGTCGGGTTATATTCGAGCAGGACTAACGGAATACAAGGACAAGCACTGCGGGACATACAGCGGAGGAAACAAGCGGAAACTGAGCACAGCCATCGCCATGGTGGGGGAGCCGCCTCTGCTGTTCCTGGACGAGCCGACTTTAGGCGTGGATCCCATCTCCAGGCGCAAGATCTGGAATGCCCTTGTTGACTGCATCAAAAATGGCCAGAGCATTGTGCTCACCTCCCATAGGTACTTTTCGGCTCGTTCACTCTATGCTTTGAAGACCTTCAATATGAACTGAATCACTTCTAATCTTTCCTTTGGAAGTCAATATTGACAAATATTTTTCAGCTCCTATAGTTCCCCGCTAATGGAGGCTGCTGAAATAAATTATTACGCTTGCAGTTTCTTTCCGTTCTGTTGCCTTCACAGAATGTCACCATTCCGAATCATCATCCTATTGGCAAAAGGAAATAAAAAGGAATTCAGGATTTTTTTAAATTCACGTCTAGAAGGCCCTTCTACTCACTCTTCAGAAGCATTTTCCTATCGAATTAGAAATACATGCAAAAAGACCGTATGATTAAAGGAAAATTCAATCTCTATGTAAAAATGAAATGTCCTTGCCATTGAACGGTTTCCATTCTAAGGGTTACTTGAGCACTTTGGAAATTGTTGCTAGCATGGAGGAATGCGAGTACTTATGTCACCGACTCGGGATCATGGTGAACGGGCGGTTCCGCTGCCTGGGTAGCCCACAGTACCTCAAGGACAAGTACTGTCAGGGGTATACCATCAAGGTGAAGACGAGGATGACTGCGTCGGCAGAGAAGCTGGAAGAGCTCAAAACTTTCCTCGTTCAAACCTTTGGAGGATCCTTCCTTCGTGACGAACATATAGTGGGTTTATAGGATATAATTATATTATCGATTATTTCATATTATTTCTCCTTAATTGAATGTGTTTAATGAATCGGGTAACTTATTGCTAGGAAGAAAACTATGCTCGTCAACAATTGCAATAGCAGTACAACAGATAAATCAGTGCGGAAATTATGGGTTTAAAAATGGTTGTGGGATGGAGATATTCCGAGTGACGGGATTTATTTTCCAGAAACTAAAACGATATCCCTCGCTGCATTCCGTCTTGAATAAAGTAAAATTCACTTTTGAAGCGAATTTTGAAAGCAATTCTAACGGTGAAATAGAGTAGAGCTCGTGGCTGATCGTGGAAGGATTTGCAGATTTGATGGAGGGTGACAGATATGTGAACGACTCCTGGAGATTGGAGTGATTGGCAGCAATTCTATCTCCTTCCCAGGTAATGCTGAACTTCCTAGTGGAACGCCGGGATGTGACCTGGGCCCAGCTCTACTCGACTGTGAGGGAGATGAAGACGAGATTCGAAGACGTGGTCGAGGATTCTTTAGTCGGGAAAACGAGTCTGGAGGATGTTTTCCTTTCCTTCACCAGTGAGCAGGTCCAGCAGAGGCCGAAGGTCAAGTGCCGACTCTGCCTTGGCTGCGGCAAGTCCCAGTGATAACCAACTGGAATAAAAAATTTTCAGTGGAATCATTATCTTTCTCATTCGTCCGCCCTGGTATTCTTATTGCATAAGACATGATTTCAAAATGCGTGATCTGGCTCCGATTTTGAAGCTGTGGCACCCTCCGACATGAATTCAGGTCGATGTTTATATATGGTTATTATTATTATTAAAATAGCATTGATTGCTACACGAAATTGCACTTTGTTGTATTTCACTGTCCGTTATCGCTCTAGCGGCCAAATGGCTAAATATTTAGTGGTGATACTTTGCACTCGCATTTCTTTGCCATCCGAAGATTCATCATTTAATGGAACAAACTTCTTCCCCAACGCACTGTTTCGCCATTTTTGGGGAGAAAACTCAATTTCGTAAGGGAAAATAAAATTGCCTAATCGACTTCACGGGTACCATCAGTGAGACATCGTGAACGAAATGAAATACTTCAACAGCAGTCCGAGTATCTGACATTTGGAAGCACTCAGACAAAGAAGTTTTCCGCTATTAAACATTGGTGGTTTTTCCTTGATAACATCAGGAAGTCCATCAATAATATTTATTGAAGCAAAACGAAAGACAAAATATGAAGCTGAATATTTTTACTTAGCAGTCGAGACCTACTGTATAGTGTGGCATCGAATACGTCACGAAAGCGATTCTACTTGTGATAATAGAATTTTGCCATCATCATTTTCTATGCATAACGCCTCATCATGTCTATAAAGTATTATAACCACTCTGTTAAAGGTACTTCATCATTTCGAATGCAAAATTTTGCCGCATTAACGCGGCAAAACTCCCTATTGCTTGCAGTAACCCGCTTTCTTATATAAGGTAAAGGCACCAGTTCGTCGACAGGTTAAGAAATTTCTTTATCTTGGAAATTGTACTATAGTCGTTGGACTCACCGGAGAACTGCGTGTTTGGTTTCAATATAATGGCATAAATCATAGTTTCATACCCATACTCTGAAATATGGACAAGATGCAGCAATTATATTCATTGTCGCGAGATGAATATTAAAGAAAAATCGCTCATTCTTCACGCATTCTTTGGCAGACTCAGCTACATCCGCACCCATCTTGGTGATGTCTAGCTCTGAAGTTTCTGGGATACGGCCTTCTCATGCCTCCTCTCAGAATTTTTCTCCAAGTTAGGATATTTAGTATAAGCTTATGCAGAAACTTTCAGATTTCATCATGAGCTTGAACCGGTTTTATAGTTTTTTTTAAGCTCCTGGAGTCCACGGATTCTTTGAATTCGAGATGAGTTTGTCACGTGGACATTTCCTAGTGATGATTTTCTATTACTTCAAAAAATATTCTCGGCCCAATTAAGAGTCTTGAACGCCTACAACAGGCCTTTGGTGAAAAGGCACCAACTCGTACTAAAACCTTTGAATGATTGGTAGAATGTCGGAAGGGAAGGGTGTCCTTGAAGGATGAGCGTTTGCTTTGGCCAGCCGTCAACTGCAAAAAAATGTAGTAATGTAGGTTGAAGAGGACTATGGAATTGCACATGACATTCACGCACACCTTGGGATTAGGTTAGCAGCAGTGAATGATATACTGCGCAGAAATCTTGGTATGAGGATGGTCACCAGCTGATGGATCCCTCATGATCTCACCCTAAGTGAAAAGGAGGCCAGGGTAGAATGGTGTGATTCATGCACTGGAACCGGGGTGCTCAAACTACGGCCTGCCGAAGGATTCCATCCGGACCGCGTTAAGATGCGACCGGCATGATACTTTTGTCCTCCAGCTTACCTGGATTTTTTTAATTTAAATGTTTTAAATATTCTCATCCGTATTTCGTCCACTGTTAATACCCACTACATGTTTCTGCTCTGCATTGGGGAATCTAATAAGTCAGATCTAGTAAGCGTACCAATCGCGTCTCACCAGGTCCACCCTTCAATTCTTTGAATTAAGGCCTTTTTCGATCCCCAGTGATTAACCTTGAGCGTCCACACACTTAATTGGGCATGTAATGCATGTTTCGGGTGTTGGCCAGGTCCGTACCGTGTCTCTTCGAGGATCCCAAGTTATTACTCATGCCTTGTTCACCGAAACCTCGGGAACATTTTTCCTCGCTCTGTGCTTTCCTTGGACATCCTTGTTTAGCAATTGCGCCATTCAAATTGCAGTGTCATTACGTTCATTGATCTCTCCAGCGGAAATAGTTTCAATAGTCTTAGGTGAGGGGTACTTATTTCTCTCCTTTTTTTGAGAGGACGTTCCTGCCTAATCTTTTTCTCGTACAAAGTACGATATCGTTGAATCATGCCAAGCCGCAAAAGAAAGGAAGTTGACAGTGAGTGCCGAAAATTTCGAAGTCGCTCGGAAAATATTTCATTTTTAGAGTTGAATTGTGCTCGATTCTTCAAAAGACAAATTGATGTTCTGAAGGAGCATAATCCTAAAAGGCAATACTAGTCCAAGCAGGCAGTCACACGATGAGTACCAGCTGACGGATTAGCAGCAAAGCTGAAAGTTTGTGTCATTCAGCAGTTCTAGGAAAGGTGAATCCTAGTAGCTGTGAGGTAGCTCTTTTGACAGCTGAACATAGCATGTCAGGAGAGTTTTCAGGAGAGTTTGTCATGACATGCATAGCAAAGACTTTGAAGGTACTGCGACATGAAATAAGTCGGCAATTTCAAACTGAGAGCATCTCGCGTCCAACGATCTCAAGATGGATCAAAGGACTTGTCCCGTCATCTCCACGAGGAAATGCGCTCAAGGGTTCAAAACCTCATGTATCATTTCGAGAAGGAAAAAAAAATTATTTGAGGAATAAGGCAATCCCATTCTTCCTCTGAACCAAGACGGCGGGTCAAATTGGTATTTCTAGCAGACGTGACAGTTTATATAAATGACAAGCTTCTTCAAGCGAGCGATTGCTTCACCTCGGACTTTCATTTTCAATTGTGAGCGCTTTCAAAATGAAAATGCTACTTTTGGGAGTATCATCAGGCCAAATTCAAGGTATGATTTGAGGATTGCTCCCGGCTCAAAGAGTAAATTCAGCTCTTCCGTTTCCCGTTCAATGCGAATGTTTGGAAAGTTATTGAATAAATGCAAATGGAAGTTATTTAACTGAAATCGCGATAAATGAACTCAAAAACATAATCACGGACCTGTCTGAGTTCCATAAATGCATAGATGACAGTCGTTTTCCAAAATGTATTCACCACATCCAAATGATGACTACCTTAATTGCAACAGCATATATCTGTAAACAGACATTCTCCAACATGTCTTAATCATGTCTCCATCATTTCTCTGACACACAAGGTCTGTTTTAAAAAAAGTGAGGGCTTTCCACCATATTAATCAATTTAAACTTATATATTATCGGATCATAATCGAGCGGCCCTCGAGTAGGAAGTTACTGTCCATGTGGCCCCGCAAACTCAAAAAGTATTAGCACCCCTGCATTAGAAGTTCAACTCCGTGTCTTCAAAAGCCATCATGACATCATTACCGTAGATGAATCCTTGAAATATCAATTTGTCCCGGAGACAAGGCGTCAATCCACTGTCTAACTCTTCCCTTTTGAACCGACTCCAACCAAGGTCAAGCGGCCCAGAAGCGTGGGAAAGCAAATGGTGGCTAGTTTCTTCTCTTTCACTGGTCACATAGTCACCATACATCTTCTGGGTCTAAAGTACCTCGACGTGGAACGTAGAGTCCTGCCTCTCAAACGTGTTTGAATCTTTGAAGAATCGGAATACCAACCCGCCCAGCCAACCTTGAAATCATGGATGCTCCATCACGACAACTTGTCCAGTCACACAGCCGCCCTCGCATCGGGTTTCATGCATGATTCTGGCATCAGAGCGCTCCCACATCTGATTCATAATCCAGATCTGGTCTAGCGTGACTTCTTTCTCTTCCCAAGAATTTAAGGCATTGACAACGCTTTCACTCTCCAAAAAAACAGTCGCTGAATTTATTTCAGTCATCTGGGGTATCTCAATATTTGAGTTAAAATTTTTTTTAGAAATGCTTTGCAAGGATGAGAAAGTGCATTAATTCTCATGGAGAATACTTTGAAAAGGAGTAATGATTGAGTAACACCCATCAGTTTTCATTTGTCCGTATCCGGAAACATTCCGGTCCTAATAAGTAATAAGTGCAATAAATATCACGAAATGAAAATCACAAATTACTATGAAAGTATTTGTACTCATAAAATGGCTGCCTCTACCCCATTGGCGTAGCAAGGAACGTGCGAGCGGTGACCCCGCACTGAGGGGCTGTTTCAGCAGTGAATTTTGATTTTATTTTTCACTGGATGACGGTTGCTGGAAAAACATTTCCCATGACTAAACGCACTTGGGAAATGCCACCGAGCCA